TTGCAATTTATTCTTATATTTTTATTTATTTCATATTTTATTATATATAAATATTATAACTGAGTCTAATTTAAAAAATATATCTTATTTGTCAATTATTATTTCTTTTTTTTTTTTATTTATATATATAACTATTATTGATTACCATATTTATTGAATTGATATTATTATATTAGTGATTAAATAATTATTATATTTCTATAAGCTTTATATTCAAATGAATATTCTATATTTTAAAACTGTTTTTTGTTTTAAGACTAGATTTGTATATTTCATAGATCCATATATTTGTTATCTATATTAGATAGTAAGTTATTACAAATTTTAATTATTATTAATTTATTATTCAAAATAATAATAATATATATATATTTTTCTGTTTACTTTAGATTATCAAAAATTCATTAGATAAATTTAGATTCTTAATAAAAAATATTAAATTTTGTACTATAGTATTGCCTAGAAATTTTTTATTAAAATCTTTATTTTGATATTTTTTCTATTATAAAAAATAGTTTTATTAAATAAAAAGTATAGTCTTGATTTAATAATTTAGGTTTCTATTTTTTATTTTTTTGTATTGTTGACTTTTTACTATTATAAAATCACTATTTGTTAATTTTTTTCTTCGATATTTATTTCAATATTTAAGTTATTAATATAGATTATTTTTTGTGTTTTATAGTTTAATTTTATTGAATAATTATTATTCTTTTTATCTTTATTTATATTTTTATATATGCGATTTTCTTAACTTCCTTACTTTAGTTAGGATTCTATTTGGATTTATTAAAGAATTTAAAGTCATAACCTAGATTATAGAGTTTTGTGCTATTAACTAGTTATTATCATATTTATTATTTATTTATTTTTATTGTTTATTATAATATTTTTTTTGATATTATATATATATATATTTTATGGTCTTCAATATTGTTTCATTGTATAATTAGCTTGTATTACTTTTTGCAAGATATTTTCATTATAGTTAGATTTTTATTAAGCTTTTTTGCTTTGAAGGTTTTTTTGAGATGATATTTCTCTATTCTTCTTTCTTGAAAATTATTATAAAAGAAATTTTTTTGAAAAAAATAGATTTGTGAAAAAGAGTTGATACAAATAAAAAATTAATATTTTATAATATCTTAATTTAAATTATATAGTATAAATAAAAAAATTAAAATTATTTTAATAAATGGATTTATCAAATAAATATAAATAATTTAATAAAATAAAAATTTTATAATAAAACCAAAATTTTTAAAATTAATTTTTATAATAAAAAAATAAAAATAGTTATTTGCATTTAGTAAAAATTTATTATTATTTTATTATTAATTGAAAATATTTTTTATTGTTTTTTTTTTATTATTCAACTTAATATTTTATAATAAAATATTAATTAACAATTGACAAAACTTTAAATATATAATTATGATAATTTTATAACAAAAAATTAAAGTTTATTTAAATTTAATACATTATAATAAAAAATAATTATACAACAACTTTTGTTTCAAACTATATTTAATATAATTATAAATTTGATTAAAATAAATAAATTTTAGTTTCAGTCAGAACTTATATAAAAAATCTATAATAACAATCCTTTACATTAATATTTATAATTTAAAGAATATTTACTTGAACCATAAATAAAATAACAAATTATTTTTAAAGTCACTCTTAAAGTCATAAATTAATAGAGACAGGTAAGTTAGTTATGAATTTAACTTTAGTGTAACATATTCTTAATATATATATTATATGGTTTATAATTATTTAATAAAGTATACACAACTAGTCTAATGGAGGATTAAGTTTAAAAAAAAATGAAAAAAAAGTTTTTTTTTAATTTTAATTTTGATGTTTTTATAAACAAGTTTTAAAATATTATCATATTGATTGATTAAGCTGATTTTCAAAAAGTTCTATCATAACCATATTGTATAGTGTAATGATAAAATATACAGATTCTTTTTATTATTAATATCATCATAATTTGATTTTTTTTTTTTTTTATATATACTTAAATAACCCGAAATTTTTCGATATAAAGTATAACCCCCTTTTTGATCAACTATCTCACTATTATTTCAGTAGATTTTATTTTTTCCTTGTTAAATATCTTTTTAAATCCAATATATTAACAAAATAAAATTATATTTTTAAAAAATTATCATAATTATTACTATTAATTCAATTAAAGATTTATTTAAAAAAGGATTTCTCATCATCATCATTATTACTATTAATTATTATTATTCTATCAACTATAAACAGAATATTAAAACCATTCTTAAATTATTTGGTTACTCTTTATAAAAATCATTTGTAAAAGAAAAATCCATTGAGTTTGAGTTTTTTTGGGTAATTTGTCAATTCCCAAGTTTTCTGCGATATACTGTATTTGAATAGGATTTTTGTTTCAATTGATTTACTTCCTTATTTTTTGATTCGTCTATTGAAATTATCATTGGGTCTTTTTTTTTTCATTATATTCGTACATGGCAAAAAAAAAAAAAAAATTATGCACACAGATAAGGTCTTTTTTTTACCAAAATTGAATTCTCGTTTATTCATTAATAGCGCGTCGCAATGAAAATCGTCAAACCATTTTCCATTCTCCTTAGTAATCCCATTTTCGGATAAGAACATTAGTAATCAAATTGTCGGAAAATGTAAATTAAAGACATACATGTTGTTTTGTTATAAAGAAATTTCAAGATTAATAATTAGTCCTTGTGCAACACGGCAAATGGAGACCGAATAATTGCATCATGCGTATTTCGTCTAACAAAAATAATAATCGAACCAAAATTCATCGGTTATTAAGTAATAGAATTACAGTATATTGTCACATACTTCGTATTATTCCCATATATGGATAATTTTTAATGGCGAATAAGAAAATTAATCAAATTAATCACTATTTCATATTTGAAACAATGATTATTATGACTTTTTTTAAATGCGTAATTGAACGATTATGAATTGGATTTCGGACGATACTAAAAAAGGAAAAAGGAAACAACCCTGCATGTCAAAATTTTAAATGTAAATTTCATTCATTTATACTTTACTCCCTTCTCTCACGGAAATTACGGACATTGGTTTTCGGATAGCGATTAGTCTGACTAGTCCGCAGGAACGTCATAAATGACGCGTTGGCTGACTTTGCCCATAGTCTAGATATTCAACATTTAGGAATCGATGGATGGTTGTATTGCTAGGAGATTGGTAAAAAAAGAAAACCATGAAAGTTCAAGCATTCTCCGCAGAATTATGCAAACGAGGTTAGTAACTTGTTTTTTTAAAAAAAAAAAAAAAAAAGTGCCAACGCCAGCCTTTTATGTAATCGACGAGGAACACCGAGAATGAAAAATTGACCACGTTTCAGATGAGAGTGATCTTTCGACAAATCGGGTATGGTGTACTAAACAATACGGTTCAATATGAGTCAGAGATCCGACCATTTTTCCCATAGTCAGAAAGTAAACTATGAACTGGTTGCACTGTAGATTGTGCGTACAGTAAATCGACATGCTAAGCAAATTTCCATATACGTACATGGTTGCCTAAAAATAGGCAGTCATGCGTTCGCACATAAGATCACGATAGCCGGCTAAATCTAAAGCAAGGTGGAGTTCATGAAAATAGATTGTCAAAATAATACATCATGTTTGATCAAATTTTCATCCCCGACAATATGTGATTGGTTGGTTTAAAAAAAAAAAAAAAAAAGAAAAAGAAAAAGAAATGAATCCAATCTATTTACAATATTATTTATTTATTATTTTATTAATATTAATTGGTTTTATTTATTTATTTATTCCTTTATTTCTACTTATCGCATTTTGATGATTCAAAGGAAAATGGTAAAGATGATTTATACTTTATCGAACTAATTTATTTATTTATTATTATTGTTTTTTGATTGAGTTTATAGATCCCCATTCCCCAATTCACCTGCAATTTATCTCCTTGTTAATCCTAATAGAGTAAGATCAACAACATATGTTTAATAAATATGCTTAAACGCACACGATATTATGTAACATGAAAGGGGTTTCACATACGGAATATTCCTTTCCGAAGAGCAACACGTCGCTGTGCGAGTGCCACCTTCGTGACAAATAACAGTGTTACCAATACGTACTTGTTTTCTTCTTCATGACATTCCATGGCACATTCTTATTTGAATTTTGTTAATATAAGGAAGTGCGTGATGCACAAAAGAGTATTTTCGTCATTGGTTGGTTTGGGGGCAATGAGTTCAAGTGATAATAAATACTCTACGTTCACTATTCCCTCCCAGGCAATTTAATTTTCCTCGGTTTTTCTTTTACAACAAATCGGAAGGAAAAACCAAGTCTCGTCGAATCACACCACCTTCACATTCTTCCTTCCCTTTCATGAGTTTACTTTTACGACAAACGAATATTGAATTTTTATGAGCGAATAAAATTTTAACCTATCCGACCAGGCACCTTTTCACCATCTCCTCTTCAAATATCTTTCTTTTACCTTTCTCGCTATTTTATGATTATTGTTAGTTCAGTGAAGACGGTTTACGCCAAAATTTGTTTACACTAGCTTCAAATCCACTTTTTATAGATACTTTCATCACTCATTGCATAAATTCTCATAATTTCATCCAACATTCCAACATTCCAACATTCACCTAACTCAGCCACACCTAATTGTTTCTCCGTTAAAACTATAAAAAAGAGGAAATCCGGATCGACGTTCATCACTAATCATCTTCATTCATATGGTGCTTGTGCATGCATAAAAATATTATCATACAAATATTATTATTACTAAAATACTAATAGCATTTGTGGTACAAACATTGACCGACAGTACAGTAAATAGCCATGCACGAACAAATTAACACCCTCCTATATCCGATTTTCCGATTGACATTTGGAAGGAGACGTACCATACCAAATGCTGAGCCATCTCTAACGAAGTTAATCAATCTGACGACAGGTCAAATGACAACCGCCACCAATTCTCATATCAACAATACCATTGTTGGAAAAAGCGAAGCCATTATTGATGAAGCATACATAACCGACAGTGAAGGTCACATTGTTTTTCTAAGGAAAAAAAATTCCATCAATGATGTCGCTCATGTTATTAATAAAACGACTACGGGACAAAATGAAGTGGAGAACACACAAGACGCCAACGCAGATGTGAATCAGGTGACCCTTGCGGAAACTAAGAGCAACGCCAACCACCCGGATCCTGAAATAAATGTAGGGAAAAAATATGACCCTAAAGCAAGGCGCAAAAGCCTTACATTCAAGCAATCATGCAAGAATGCTCCCGTGTATTTTAGAAATCGAACGAGGTATGCGTGTATGTTTTCCTTGTGTATCCTATTCATACTTTGCTTTATGACATGACCCCCTCCGGATATTTTGTTATGGAAAATGTTGCGTTCCAACAATTACGCGTTGCGTCATAAAACTGAGCGCCGAATTCCGCTGTTCACATGATTTCTAGAATGATTGCGTGCTACGCTCATTGTCGCGGATGTTTCAAATCTCGGTCATTTCACTGCACACGAGCTTTGTGTATTTTGTATGCATACCTAGTGCTTTTTTTAGTAACTAAGATTTCCGGAGTGTGACCTCCCTCAGAAAATTTCGTGTGTTCACGCGCACAAGTACCGGAGTATTACGTACGAGGCGCATGAACCCCCAAAAATATATATATTGTTGTCCTCCAGTTTTTTCTTGTTTGATAAAACAGGCGACATATTCATCGCAATAATATTGGTTAAATTCATTAAATCAGTCAAAGCATACATAAAGTCTTACTAATTCCCCAATTCCCATCTCCTTTTT